AAGTTTCTGACTTTCGCAGAATAGATTTCATATCGAGATACAACATGCTATCGAGATACAATATATAAAAAATAAGAGGACTAAGTAGTTCGGGCACATATTACTAGTAGACCGTTAAACTTTTTAGTACATAAGACTAGAAGTAAAGATAGATGTAAGAGACGTCTAAGACAAAACAGTTATGTCTGCGTTACTTTCGCCAAGAAATTCACAGTTATGAAATGCTTTGCAATGGAGCTAAAAATAAAACAATTTAATCGTACCTGACTAACATGTTACTTTACAAAACAATGAACAAATTTCTTCTAGTCTTTAACGACTAAGAACTACTAGAAATTGTACTTCAGCCGAAAAAGATTTTTAAAATATCGAAACACTTGTAAAATGCGCATTTTTACTAAAAATCCTAAATTATAAGAGGAAAAAGATCTAAATTCTTATAATCTGCACTTTATTAATACCAAATCGATAATAAATTTGCTAACAATGTCAGTATATATGGCGTGTCTACAATCACTCTTCACAAAAGAAAAGCCAAATTCTGGAAATCATTCTACTTTCTCGAAAAATACTTCCTAAGAAAGCTAGATCTCTTTAAATATGGCCCTCTAACATTATCAGTTTAATTCAAACAGCTTCGTAACGATTGTATTTAAAATGATAACCTTTTTGTATATTTATTTAGTAAAATGTACCCAAACGTTTGGCGTGAGTCCGGTTTTTTTATTTGCAGTCACACGAGGCTCGTTTAAGAGGAGTATAGGACAATTTTGTTCATAACATTTTTTTTTCAACATTAAATTTCATATTAACAAACATGTTTGAGTTAAATCAATGTTAGATCGCTATCTTTGAGTTACTCTTTCGATAGGATAAAAATAAGTTCCAGATTCTGTATTTTTATTTTGTGAAAAACGTTTATGGACACCCTGTATAAATTATACTACAATAATAATTACTAGGTAATAAATCGATATGGAGTTAAAAGACATTACGTATAATTTTATGAACGATGTGATCACGAATTTAGAATATATAAAAGTAAAAAAAAATTTATTTTAAATCATGAATGTGTTGCTTGTGTGAGTCCATTTCAAATAGGTAAAGAAATAATAAATAAGACTTACTCACAATCAATTTAATTTAACTATCAGACGACCGGTTTCGCTTTCTACAATATGCAAAGCATCTTCAGGTCTCGATACAAAGTTAAACAAATGCTGAAATGATAAAAACCCATATTAGGGTGTTGTCTAATAAAGATAAACAAATTAGATGTTATAAATTACAATAATTATGCCAATATTACATGTCTGTGGTTTTATTTAAATGATTGAGTTGAATAAAAGGTATAAAATTTTTTTAAGAAGGTTAAAAAGACAAGGTAAGGCCCACAAATTGTTATAAAATCTCTTCTATTGTAATAAATTAATAAATGAGCAAATAAATAAATACAATAAAAATTACTTACATGCCGGTACTCTATTAATAGATGGATGGTAGAACATGTTTGAAACTACTTTATATTGTTAAATGGAGAACTCAATACTATTATTGCAGTTGTTTGACAGTAAACGGAAAGTTCTTGAGGAGATAGATTTGATCCAATGAATTTGAGATATGTGTGAGATTGTTTGTTAAATGTAAGTGGTGTAATATACTATTGTGTTATTAAAAGTTATTTATACTTATTCCAGAGATATATTTTTGAAATGTGTGTTATTTATTGAGTAATTGTTTTATGAAGGTGATATTTTATGACAATGAATAAGTGTAGATGTAAAAATTGTGTGGGTGTGCAATTATTTCCAAACTTGTAGTTATCAAATTACTTTGATAAAGTTCTATTGGCAATGAGTTAATTATTGGAATAGTCAAGTGAATAAAATGGTAAAATACAAACAAGGATAATTTAAACACACTAAAAACAGAAAACACTTAGAAGGGACGAAACAAACATTGAATTTAGAAGGGGAAGGACTTTAAAGCACTACATCATAGTCTTGGGCACAATGAGTTTTTTTATTGTTGTATCTTTTAGATTTTAGTGGTAAATTTTGACAGATGTAGGTTAGCATGTGACAGTTCTTCTTCTGTTTCTCAATACTGTAAGTTAAGTTATCTAGTTTCATAAAATATGCTGTTATTAATGAATGTCTATAAAACTGTTTCAATTTAGATATATCAAAAGTAAATTGATGTGTTTAATATTTACATACTTTAACAATCTTTAATTAATCAAATTTAATGTAAAAATATGGTTAATTGAAATACATCATATGTAATTTATTTCAGAATTCCATATATAATAAGATGCATTTGATACACCTCTTAGATCAATCCAATCTTCTATTTCAAAATAAAAGTCAGGCCACTTGGATCTAGTTCTTGGTTCATAGAATTTCTTGAACATTTTAACATACTACCGAAACAATTTCCTAAAACTACATTAAATATCAGTATTGAACTGGTATGGTACCTCAACTTATTTAACCCACAATTATTATTACATTCCATCTGGTTCCGAAATATACTCATCTTACAAAAAATTTGATTTCAAACTCAACACGTGTTTTGATTATCATCAAAAATAACATGTTAATCGTTCAGACTAGCTGTATTAATTGAATACATCTTTACTAATTACAATTATACACAAATTTACATTTCAAATAGAAATATTAATTTTCACAAACAGCTATTAATTGAAAAAAATTTTTAAAATGTTACTTAAAACAATTGTACAAACTCACCATTGTCCATGTAGGTGTGAGGAATATCTGTTCGTATGACACCGAAAATTGAAATAAGAATAAATTTACCTTATACCGGTTTAAATAGACGATCATTCTACCTGTTCGTATAATAATTTCCGGTCCCAACTGTCGGATATTAGAACTACCAACTAATTATTGAAGGCTTTATAATTCAGTCAATTTCTTGAGCCCACAAATTAATTACCAACAATAATTATCCATTTGTTGCTTTGGATACATATTAGTATATTAGATATTAATATATCAGATTTTGGAAAAATATCTCTAATAATTAAAAAATACCCGGACAGATAACTCATACCTACATCAATTTCAAATAAAAAATAAAAACTTTGCAAACTTATTATACATTTGATTATTAAATGTACATGTTCAGTTGCCAAAGAATTTACTTTAATTGGTTCAGTAAGTTAAACATTAGACTGAGTTAGTTATATTGTAGGATGTATTCAATTAACCATATTTTTAAATTAAATTTGATTAATTAAAGATTGTTAAAGTATGCCAATATTAAACACATCAATTTACTTTTGATATATCTAAATTGAAACAGTTTTATAGACATTCATTAATAACAGCATATTTTAGGAAACTAGATAACTTAACTTACAGTATTTAGAAACAGAAGAAGAACTGTCACATGCTAACCTACATCTGTCAAAATTTACCACTAAAATCTAATAGATACAACAATAAAAAAAACTCATTGTGCCCAAGACTATGATGTAGTGCTTTAAAGTCCTTCCCCTTCTAAATTCAATGTTTGTTTCGTCCCTTCTAAGTGTTTTCTGTTTTTAGTGTGTTTAAATTATCCTTAAGTGTTTGTATTTTACCATTTTATTCACTTGACTATTCCAATAATTAACTCATTGCCAATAGAACTTTATCAAAGTAATTTGATAACTACAAGTTTGGAAATAATTGCACACCCACACAATTTTTACATCTACACTTATTCATTGTCATAAAATATCACCTTCATAAAACAATTACTCAATAAATAACACACATTTCAAAAATATATCTCTGGAATAAGTATAAATAACTTTTAATAACACAATAGTGTATTACACCACTTACATTTAACAAACAATCTCACACATATCTCAAATTCTTTGGATCAAATCTATCTCCTCAAGAACTTCCTGTTTACTGTCAAACAACTGCAATAATAGTATTGAGTTCTCCATTTAACAATATAAAGTAGTTTCAAACATGTTCTACCATCCATCTATTAATAGAGTACCGGCATGTAAGTAATTTTTATTTTATTTATTTATTTGCTTATTTATTAATTTATTACAATAGAAGAGATTTTATAACAATTTGTGGGCCTTACCTTGTCTTTTTAACCTTCTTAAAAAAATTTTACACCTTTTATTCAACTCAATCATTTAAATAAAACCACAGACATGTAATATTGGCATAATTATTGTAATTTATAACATCTAATTTGTTTATCTTTATTAGACAACACCCTAATATGGGTTTTTATCATTTCAGCATTTGTTTAACTTTGTATCGAGACCTGAAGATGCTTTGCATATTGTAGAAAGCGAAACCGGTCGTCTGATAGTTAAATTAAATTGATTGTGAGTAAGTCTTATTTATTATTTTTCTTTACCTAAATTTAATTTTATTTATATTTGTTTACTGAATTTTGCATTAAATTTTCCTTTTTCGTGTAGGATTTATTTAGGTTTTTATGTAAATATATAATTATATTTAAAGATTATATTACTTATTTATATTATGTGTTAAAGGTATGTTAATATTAAATGTTAAAGCTTGGTCTTAAAAGCTTCTCTCTTGATCTTTTTGCTGTATATAGAGCAATTGCTAAACTATTTGGCATGTTTTTCGCAAATATTGTGATGTCTGCGTCTAATGTGTGGCATGCCCTAAGTTATAAAATTGCAAGCTTATTGGGGGCTGACATTAAATATTTAACCTGATGTTCTCAGTGATAATGAATCCCATTCTGGCGTTCGAGCTGTTGTTTTTCGCCGTCTTCGGTCAAACGACATACGATGAGCTGATAGTAAAACACAGGGACCCAAAGATACCACCGTTTCGCCCTTTATGGACTGACAATCTCTTCAAAGTGGTGTTTGGTGTCTACATGTTGGTCTCGGTGGTTGTGCTCATAAACCTTCTAATTGCCATGATGTCGGACACGTACCAGCGCATACAGGTAATTCGCTTTTTGTTTTGTGATTCCAGTCCAAAAGAATCCGATCAGCGCTTTTGAGCTGCTGTTTTTTGCGGTTTTCGGCCAAACCTCGACCGAGCAACTGAAAAGCTATGGCCCGAACGCCGCAAACCGCTCTAATAACCAACCCCCGTGGACGGAAGTTCTTTTTAAACTAGTTTTTGGAGTATACATGTTGGTGTCTGTCGTTGTACTGATTAATCTGCTCATTGCCATGATGACTGATACCTACCAACGCATTCAGGTATGACAAGGTAGCTAACGATAGATTCTTGTGCTACCATTATGCTTCCTTAAGTAGATTTTTGCCCTTTGTCTTTCTGTCGATATATTTAAATCTAGGTGCATTGATTCATACTCACTATTTACAAAAAAGCAACAGCTCAATTATGCCTAACAACTTGTATAAATTTATTGAACCTTATTTTTTTAAAGGAATAAAAACATATGCCATGCAAATATATTAAGAAAAAGTTTTAAAATATTGATATATATCAGATCGTATAAAATATGATAATAAACTCACTATTTACAAAAATACAAGTTTTTTAGAACTTGCGATATCCATTACGTTCACCCTTTTTTTCTTTTACTCTGATGAAAACTAAAGTATTTCTTTCATCTTTCATATTCAAGTTATCGATGTACTAACAGAGAAGGGAAGGGATGCGGCTCCTTGGTCAATATCTTAGCGGATAATATCGTATTAGTGGAAAAGAACAAAATGTTAGAGGAGAATTTAAGTTGAATAAGGGCTATTAAAGGGGTAGGACTTAAGGTTGAAAACAAAGTGTATGTGGTTGGGATCAATATGAATGGTGAGGAACATCTTGAGGAAAACTAGTACCAGTAGGAGAATAAAAATACCTTAGCTTCTATACAAAACGTAAAATAAAGCACTAGATCGAGAAATTGCTCACTGGATACAGACTGGTTTACTTGGAATTGAATGAAAAATCAAAAAACCAATATTCGTTTCTTTTTCTTGTATTTGACATGATATTATGTTTATCTCTTTAAACTAAGATCATTTTTACTAAAAAAATCTTAACTTCTTTTTGCTTAGTTTTTTTTTTCAGGGATACCTGTACCTTACTCTTCCTTGCCACTTATTTATGTCCACCATGTCTTTTAATTTAAACCTTTTTCCCACAAGTCCTTTTATTCTCCTCGATTTTCCTCTATCTCTCCTTCCCTTAACTTCTAACAGCTCTATCTTTTATCTCGCATAATTCCCATTTCTACTTCTGACCAGACCAAACCATTCTAGTTTTTGTTCTTGAACCTTTTTTGAGGTCGTAGTCAGCCCGGTTCTTTCGTTAATCGTTTCTAACATTTTCATTTAAATCACCTTAATTTTCTTTTCTTGGACCCCTTTATAGACCACACTTTACCGCCATTCACCAATGCAGGCTACATTACTCTCATCTTAACTTTCAGTTTTTCCCCAATTTTTCGATCAGAGAATACCCCGCTCCTTCGCTTTCAGTTAAACCAACCAACCTGTATCCTGTAAGCAATTTATCTATCTAGTGTTCCATTTTGCGCTATGTAGGACACAAAGTGGTTAAATTCTCCTACGCGTCCTACTTTTTCTTCAAGTGTTTGATGTCTCCAACCATTCCTGTTCCTCTTAACCATATATAATTATTTAATAGCATTGATTATATTTTAACTTCTTCAATATTTCTTTGGCCTGCTCCACTAACACAATATCATCCGCAAAGATCATTAATCAAAGATCCTCCTCCCTTACCTTCTCTGTCAGTGCATCCATGATAAGATTAAACAGGTTATACAGGTAGCGACTCAGTGAAGAGCCTTGATCCAAGCCAACCGTCACTGGAAGACTATATGTTAATCCGACACAAATCCTTTCTTGGACGTACGGTTTCTCATACATATTACTATTTAACAGGGAATAAGCCACAATTAAAGGTTAAAATACGTTTATTGACGTTTCAATTTCCACTTCGGAAATCGTTCTTAAAATACAAACGTTTGTATTTTATGTACAAATGTTTGTATTTGAGAACGATTTCCGAAGTGGAAATTGAAACGTTAATAAACATATTTTAACCTTTAATTGTGGCTTATTCTCAGTTAAATAGTAATTACTTTAAATTGCCACAAGAAAATAGCTTCAGAACAATACTCATACATATTATAAACCCAAAACTGTTCATCTTTTATCGATGTCTGCCTTCTTAACAGCTCAACTCGCTCTACAGTTTTCTCCCAAATTTTTATTTTCTTGTTTTTCCTCTTTGATTCTTACAATCTTGAATGTTCTCTTGATCTTTATAAGGTGGTACCATCACGCTTTTTTTATGCATTGGACATCATTTCTTCCTCATGTATCCTAGTAATAATTTGACACAACATATCAACCCCTTCCTCTCTAAGAGCCGTCTAAACTTCCACAGGTATTACATAAGGTAGTGATTCCTACTGCCTTACCATTCCTTATCCTAATTAAAACTTCAACAACCTCATCTTTCGTTATCCCTGGTAATACATTAGATTACTCAAGAAACAATTACGATACAATATGAGTATTAAATTTGATGGTTTTCCTTGCCTTGTACTTCAGAGTTGATTTGTTAAGCCTAGGACATAAGCGTGTCCTACCACTTATCGACCCTTCCATCCGTAGCTATTGGATCACCATACGAGTAGGTGAGATTGATATTTAGGTTGATAGTATTTATTTATCATCAACCCTTACATCATAACTTTTTTAAAATCAGCGCAGGCTGTCGGTAAAAGAATGCGCATTAATTACTGAATTGTTAAAAATTACTCTGTGTTATCCAGGGCGATGTCAGAAACTACTCCCCAATCCATGTTACAGCAAACTTTAAGTTATTTATTTATGAGATTTTAAAGGGATAATATATTCACTTTTGATTCAGATTATTGCTAAGCCCCAGTAAGTGAATTTATAAAATATAGCCATAAATCCGTAAAAGTACATTAGATGCTTTTCTATTAATCGTGCTTATTTAGTTTAAACTGTTATAATTGTCATTGCGTAAATAGCGCTCAAAGTTGAAAAATGGTGCTTTATCAAAAGGGCTATCTTTTTTGTAAAAATGATTGTATAATGATTACTTATGCATTAGATTGAAGCGCTTTTAATCCCCAACAAAATAAAATTTTGTCAAACCGGCTCGGCTTATTTGTTGCTAAGATATTTTTTTGTATTAACATCTAAGATACAACACTAATATTGTCTTGTATATCGGTCGGATGCGCACATATTTGATACGCGAACACAAATACTAAAAGTGACATCACAATGCATCACAAGATCACAATGGCTGTGCATTATTTAAGACGTAGCTTCCACTACTGCAGGCACTGTCAGTGTCGGTTAAGTAGGTCCAAGGGATCATATCACTTCAATATCTTCGCTTGTTGTTTGTTGAGAAGATTGTATGCCAGCATATTAGGATACACGCGTGATCTGTTTTGACATTCTTCAAAAATTTTTTTCAACTCTTCAGAGACTGTTAATACCTGCAAATCTCAATGTAAGGTTAGGTCACTCGGGATATACCAAGAGGGGCATTAGCGATTTCTCTTAAAGTTTTAGATTAAAATCTTGGAATTTTCATAACATTAAATTTGTTAGCGGATCCCTACAGCTGCGAACCAAATAAACAATCGAGTTTTATTATTACATTGTATATCAGTAGCTTGTTGTCGGTCGACTGATGTGAGTTTTTTCCCAGAATCCAGTAAAGTTTTCTGTATAAAATTCCTAGTTGTACTAGTAATTTTTTTATCCATATATGTTTGCTGCATGTTAATCGTTTGTCCAGATGAATGCCTACTATTAATATGATATTTTACACCATCCACTTTTTCTTAGAGTAAATATACTATGTGTAGAGTTTGAGAGATTTACTTTAATTCTCCAGAGTTTAAACTATTGATTATTTTAGTTTTATTTAGAGTTTTGCAGTCCCTCTGAAGCTATTGCTGGATTACTATGAGATGTAGGAAAACAGTGTCCTCTGCAAATGTTGCAAGCGTTAGGTTATTGTTTGTTGGTAAATCAGCCGTATATATCAGATACAGGATCGATGCGAGCACACTACCCTGAAATACAAAAGATAGAATGGGGTAGAGTCTTGTATAGGCTTCACTATACCTTACTAGATATCTCCTTTCTGTAAGGTATGATTTAAGCAGTTTGAAGTAGTGTATGGTAGGTTTTTGTTTAACTTGTACAGAAGTCTCTGTGCCACACCTTTCCAAAAGCTTAAGATGCATCTAAAAAGGCTTGAGTAAAGTATTACTTGTTTTCGAGACTAGTTATTATTTTTGTGTATATTCTGTGAACTTATTCTATTGTAGCGTTTTGGTTACGAAATCCGAATTTATGGTCAAGTGTGAGACCCTTTTTGTTAATATTGGTTTGATTTTCATAACAAAACTATTTTAAAAATATTAGAAATGCATGAGACCAGACTAATCGGTCGGTATGAGTTGATGTCTTTTGGATCTTTACCAGGTTTTTTAGTATGTATAATTTGTGCCACTTTTCATTTCAAAGGGAAGTAGTGCAGACTTGACATAGCATTGAAGATCATGGTGATTATTTTGTGGCAATCATGGGTTAGTTCTCCTCAAAGGTCCTTACTCGTAAGAAGGTCGTATCCTGGCACCTTACTGGGTTGTATCTCATTTATCTGTTTTACTTATTTAATGTTAAATCGGGAGATTTGTATTTCCATTTGTTATGGAGTATCAAGAAAAGAGTGAGGTTCTTCTTATTCTAGAGTTACTACCCTGGTAAATGGACTAAATAATTTTGAAAGATGTTCTGCGAATGTCTCAGATTTTTCTGTATCTGTTATTGCCCATTTACCTTTGCCATTTTTTAAAGGGGGTGTGGCGTCTTGTGGCCCTTTTACTTTTGTCGTCGCTTTTCATAAAGAATAGTTTGTATCTGTAAACGGTGTCAGATTTTCTAGATAAGTTTGGATCCCCTTGTTTTTTTTTTCTTTTAACATATTATTAAGTCTTCTGGAAATTATGTTTAGGTTTCCTTTGTCAATAGGTGTGTGAGTGTTTTGCCACTTTCACCTAAATTTTATATTCTCTTTAATCAAGTTTTTTTTACTTAGAGACAATCTATTAGGGATGGGAAAAACCTACCGGTTTTAACCGAAAACCGTTTTTTTTACTTCGAAAAAGCCGGTTTTATCGGTTGTTTTTTTGTCCCGCTTATAA